TGTACTATATTATAATTTAAATTTAAATAATTGTTCGCTTTAGAAAAAAAACCACCCCGTATATCAATTTTTCCGATTTCCTTAATGAAAAAACACCCTGTACATCAAATTAAATGTCAACGTATCCCGTAGTAACGGAAATGACAACTTTGACAGTTTGAAGTTTGTTCATCGCCGCTGTCATTAGTGTAGGTTTTTTAAAAATAATTTGATCGTTTCTCCGTTTTTGGTAAGTACAAATGACCGAGAATTATATAATTTTGCGAATTATTGTATTTTCTTTTATTTTCGTCCATTAAAAACGACGAACTTATCGAAATAACGAAAAAGTCTCTCATTTCGGTGTAGTTCTGTTTAAACCAAACGAACGGGAAACGTCCATCAAACAATTTATTTAGAAATCTGTCAAAATTTTTACTTTTAATTTCGATTTACGGACTCAAACGAATTTAGCTGGCGAAAAGAGGTCGATTTTCGTAATCAGCGAATTTTTTTACGTCCCCCTATGTACCTCTGTATGCCCAAGTAATTCGTTTTTAATTTCGGTCTCCAATCAATCGCCCTAACTCGGTTCTATCTATATATATATGTGATTAGTAAATGTTTGTTTTGGTGCCTCTATTTCCTGTTGTCTTGCGCTGTCGTCGAAGTTTCTTTGCAATGAAGGTTTTTGGAAAGAAAATAAAAACGATTAAAAGGAAAACGAAAATTGATCGATACATGTAAAAGAGTCGATACACTATACATACAGGGTGTTCCAATAGTGCGGTAAAGCTCATTTACTCAGATTTACTCATACATGGTGTCCCGGGGACTACCGAGTTGTACCACGACTACCTGAATTAATCCCTTACCGTTCTTTATCCGGATTACATTGACTACCGAGTTGTACCACGACGTAATTACCCCTAATGGCCTTAATATGCTCGGGATCGCCGAGTTGTACCACGGGATAGCATTTATGCCAAGCGTGGTACCGTAAAATTTTAAATTTAGGACTATCTAATAAATACAGAAAAGAAAAAAAGAGAAAAAGAAAAAAGATTTAAAGAAAAAAAATCGGAAATTGGTAAGTTTTTGAAATTATTCTTCGGCCTACACGGCTCCTTTCTGGAACCTACCGAAGTAGGTGATTTTTTCGCATTCCAAATATTAGATAAATTACCCAATGATGAGAAAGTAATACAATTTTGCGACTACATATTGGACAATTATGTGTCAGAAGAAGCTAGCTTTCCTCCGAAAATTTGGGCATGTACCACCAATAGCATGTACAGGTCTACGAACGCTTGTGAGTCATTTCATTCGGTACTGAAAAACAGTTTTTATTCTCCTCACCCAAATATATTTCTTTTCACAGACATGCTAATAAATATACAAAGTGAGACGTTCACTAAAATTAAGATTGCCAGTGAATCAGAAAATAATAAAAAACTGAAGTCTGTTACAAGAAAGACATTCGATTATATAACATTAAAAATTAATGAATTTAAAGAAAACAAAATTAATAAATTTGATTTTGTAAAGTCTTTAAGTTTTTACTATTTGCCGCAGTAGAGCATTTAAATGTGTATGTATAAGTAGATTATGTGTAGATATTTTATATTTTACTATAATTTTGTATCTAATTTATAAAATGTATAAAATTGTTAATGGTTATTGTCGGGCTTTATTTTTTAAGTCGTTAAGCCTCATTAGAAAATTCGGTGGTACAACTCGGTAGTAGGATTAGACCTACCTGCTATCCCGTGGTACAACTCGGCGATCCCGGGTGTCCCAATATTGCGGCAAAGCCCATTTACCAGTTATTATAATAGATACGAAAAAATGGTAAATAGGAAAAATGTTAAGCACCTTTAGGCGCATAATTTAAAATTATTTCGAAATATACAGGGTGGCCCATAAATCGGGAATATCCGAACTCTGCCACAAAATAAAATGTTACCTGAATTGTATCAATTTGGGGATTACCGAATGGTTCGAACTCTGCCACGACCATTAAGTCTAATCCTATTAGGGTCATTAGGGTTTATTATAATATTACCTAAATAAAACTTAAAATTTCAACCCAAAGAAGTCGTAGTAGATTTTGAACTAAACATTCATAACGCTATATATGAATGTTTTGGTAGAGATCAAATTATTTTTGGTTGTAAATTTCATCTCTGTCAAGCTTGGTTTCGAAAGATTCTGGAGTTTCATTGGGTACAAGAGTACATACAGAAAGATTGTGTAATTGGCGACTACTTAAAAGTACATTTTGGAATGATGTATCTTAGACCTGAGGAAGTTGTTGAATTTTTTAATAACGAACTACTTTTTTGCTTCCAAACGATGAGAGAGTTATATAATTTCGCAATTATGTCAATAAAACGTATAAAAAACAAAATTGGATATTTCCACCACATATTTGGGCAAACAATGCAGTCTTTTTTAAGAGGACAACTAATTCTTGTGAGAGTTTTCATTCCCATTTTAATAACTCTTTATAAAGCACACCCAAATATTGTCTAATTTATTAATGTGTTATTGGATTTTCAAGCGGATATATACGCGAAAATTTGTTCGGCGAACTAAAATCAGAAAAAAAACATATGATTATTCATAATCATACGGAAAAATATAAGAAAAATACTATTTCTCGCTTTATATTTGTGAAAACGGTGACATGTAAAAATCTTCCTCAGATGTAATTTTATTTTATTTTTATGTGTATATTTAAACGTATATATTTTATTAAAATGTAAATCTATTTTTTGTTACAAATATACGTTGAAAATATATTATGAAATTGTTAATTCGGATTAAACAATTAGACCCCTACGGGTTTAATACTTAATCCCTAAAATTTTAAAACCTGGCAGAGTTCGAACAACCCATAATGACTACCTGCATTTTGTGGCAGAGTTCGGATACTCCGCATAAATCAAAGCATTACAAAACATACCTTTTTAAAAGGCAATAATAATTATTTCATAATCGATTTCAGCTCGTTTCTAAGAGTTGCTCAATATAAGATATCATATGACTATACTGAGTATTTAAACAGTTATGACCAATTTTTTGTTCAAATCGTCATTACTTCAAGGCCCTGTATATCAGAATCTGTATTAGATAATGTGAATATTTCTGTGTCAGCACTTTTTAAAAATGGTCTATTTTTACAAAAATTAGTTACATTTCGACAAAATTACAATTTATACATATACAGGGTGAGTCAAAACGTTAACTTAATAATTACTTGCTTAATTTAAATTAAACACCCTATATTAATAATATCCAATGGGAAACCTATTTCTTACTGAATCATTTTTAATGAATCAAACGACTTACCTGGAAGGAAGTTCGATTCTAATTATGCGAGCATCCTTGTTAGTGGAATGATTATGCGCCTAAAGGTGCTTAGCATTTTTTCTATTTATCATTTTTCCGCACTATCTACTATAATAACTGAGTAAATGAGCTTTACCGCACTATTGGGACACCCTGTATAGACTAATTCGATATTGCTTTAGTTGAAGGTATTATTATTAAAAAAAAAAAACTTTTTACCTACATAGTTTTTTCAAACCGCACATTGAACCATATCCTCCTTGAGTATTCGCAGAGGCTTTTATCGAGGGACTCGACTTAATGGATGCATAAGCAGCAGGAATGTCACAATGGGCTCGCCATCGCGCCAGAGTCCAGAGTGAACCTGAATTAACCTTGGTTTGAGCTGTATCGGTCAAGGTTCGCCTGCGCCCTTAATGTAGTAGTAGTACTAGATGATCTTAAAAAACCGTGATAGATTTTATATTGAATGAAATGTAATCGATATCTCTAAGGAAATTAGTGTTGTAGTAAATACATATTATGTATGAAGATATTTTTACAGTGTTTCTAAATCGATAAATTTTAATTCGTAACACTTTGAATGAATGCTTTATTTGATGTAGGTATAAATTACGTACGATATTACAAAAAAAATAAAGTTTCATTTTTTTTCTAATAATTCACGACTAAAAATATCAAACAAAATAGTTTACGAACGTAACTTGTATAGAAATAATAATAAATCGTCGATTATTTGCAATATAGTTACTCCGATACTTTTAATTGCGAGTGTTTTGTTCGATGTCTCTGACGAATTGGAATAGTCAATAATTTAATTGAGTACTTGCTATACATTGTGAAATACAGTTTAGAAATAAAGGGTTGGGACGTGGCTTAACTATAGTTATTTTCTGGAACGAAAATAAGATGATTTAACCTAACTTACCTATATCCAAAAATGCATAGTAAAGAGGTTATAGGGTGTAAAAGTTGAAAATAAGAAAGAGATTTTTTTGAACTGCGTGAGAATAGCTGTCAGTTTTATAATTTTTTGAATTTCGTTAATTGTATCAATTCAGAAAAATTTTGGTGCGGAAATTTATATTTTTTACATTATGAACAATCACCTAAGTATTACATACTGAGTGTATAAAAATACGTAAACTATTTAAGATGCTGAAACTTTTTGTCAACAACTTTCTCAATACAGGCAAGTCTTAAAATTTTTAATAATATTGTGGATAAGTACAGTTGTTTAAAAAAAAGGGTACAAGTAATAGAAAGAGACATTAACGTCATCCTATTTGCGTAAAACCGGCTAGAATTATTTTAGCTTATCAAATGTCATATGTTGAAAAAAATGGAAAGCATTGGCGCTATAATAGGGGTCAATTAAACGAAATAATGATCAATGATACTTAAATTATTTACATGTTTGACAACTTTTGACATTTGATAAGCTTCAATAATCCCAGCCGGTTTTACACAAATAAGATGACGTTAATGTACCTACTTTAAGGAATCGTTGACCTACCAGTATATGTTAATTGATTAATAAGGCATTTCTTGTATTTCTCTCTTTTTATATGAATATGAATGTGACTCAACCTACTCGGCTCTAATTAATCCGATTTGATCCCACTTATTACAATTTTTAGCTCTCGGCTTGCTTGAAATGAAACTAACAGAAGATAAATTAGTACGCGTTTATATGCTGGTATACCGAGTGAATGTTTTAGTGCATTTTCTGAAATTACGAGTAGTGTTGGATTGTAAGTATGATTTTTATTTAAACCTGGAAAATTTCAATTATCAATAATTTCTATTGAATTAATGCGTCTTATAGTTATTAGTAGTAATTGGCGCTCTTAAAAAAATAAGAAAAGTATAGAAAAAGTTTTAAAAACGGCGTATTAACGTAATGCATCAAAATAATTACGGAGATAGTAAAGGAGACATTCAGGTTGTAATTAAACCAACCTTACTATTTTACGTTTATAAAGGAATTTCAGCCCGGGAATTTTATGGATTTCAATATTATTGTGGGAGAAGAATTATATGAATATTGGAAATTATTTATTAAAATTTAAGTGCTTTAAACCAAATCCTCTAGATTTTATTTATTTAAATATTTAAATTATTAAGCAACCGACTACAATCTCTCTTTTTTTATTTATTTTAACTCTTGTTTTATTTTTCGGCTCTGATTGATTTAGGGGCACTATTTAATAATGATCTGATCCAAATTTCAACTGGGTACCGGAATGAGAAATTATCAATGGCAAATTATTTAGGCTTCACTGTTTATGTATGGCGGATTATGTCTTTGTCTTTTCGTTACGTGTGCGAATTTGAGGTGCAAATAATGGGGAAACTTGGTGTTTCTATTGTCCAACTGTCTTGTTCGTAATTAATATAGATATCTAAAATATCGAGATTTTCGAATTTCCCAGCAAGATATTCCTAATCTTGATTATTCTCGTTAAGATTTGGGTGAGATTTGTAGAAGGACTAATGCATGGTAGGTAGTTATACATTGTGTGTCACGACGAGGGCCCATTAGAAGTATCTGAAAAAGTAGTTGTAATTAAAATTTGAAAATATGTGTACAAGTATTAGTCGATGCGCTCTATTCAATGAAAATATTTTCAACTTTTCTTTACTTCCGGTTATACCGGAAGTGGAATCAACTTTGTTATTTTAAATGGGACACCCCATATATTAATATATTTTCGAAATGTACACACAATTTTAGAGTGCTTTTGTCTAAAAAAACTTTTCTCAAAAATGCATACTTTTTTAGTTACTATTTTTTTTTTTAATTTGACCCTTATAAATTAATTTTTTACGGGGATCCCTTTAAAGATATGGATGCGGTGTCTGTAGGGTGGCCACTAGCAAGGTCAAAGGTATTTGAATATGTGTTAAAAAAACTTTTTATTTTATACAGGGTGTATATAAAACATGTGAAAAGTTGAACTTCAAAAATACCAAATTATTTCATTTTTTTAAATGGAACCACCCATTTTTTTTCTATTTTATAGAAATCAGCGATAAAAAATAAGAAAAGTTCATGTTTACTTCCCTATACCTAAACTTAGGTTTGATGATATTAAAAATTTTACTTAAAACTTTTCTGCCTTATGTTTAAATAATCCGTTTTTACAAGTTGGCCATGTAAATTGTTTGTAATTAATTGATTATTAATTTTGGTACTTGTGAGATATTACATGGCCAACTCGACATTTTATTACCGGCTTAAATAAAAATTTAAAAAGTTCATCGATCTACTTTTTATTTTTCAATATATCATTATCCTTATTTTAGTAAATTCAAAATGTAATTTAAATAGTTTTAATAATTTTTTTCTATATTAAAATTTAATTAACATTTTAATGGAATCACCTGAAGCAATCCTATTTGGGATCTAAAGAGCTAGACTTCCAAAGTCTTTTTAAATTAATAATTTTCAAGTGGGATTCTTATATTCTCTTAATGAATATAATTTTTAAAATTTTAAAATTCTTAAAATATAATTTTTTACTTTAGGGTTTAATTTTACAATTTGAATTTAATAATAATGCAATAATCGCAATTTATTGCATTCACTTTTAATTCAATTTAATAATTATAAATTTAAGAGTTTAAATTTTCACGAGTGTCATTAGCCCCTCAAAAACCAGACCCATCGAGACGAATAATTATTTCCCCTTAACGCAGACGTTACCTCAGCACACTGAAGGGGCGTGCGCTTTCATCATGTGTATTTTCCGGGAATCTCCGGATTCTTCGGCATCGGTTCTGGCGGCAAATAGTCTTCAGTCGCACCGATCTAGTCGGTAAATTCGCGAGTCCTCGGAACACCGGCTTTTGCAGTTACGGCCATAATTACGCGGATCACGCGAAAAGTGTATTTTTTCGGGATGTTTTGAAGTGGTCAGTGCTGTTTTTTACTAGTTTTCTTATTGCTACCAGATTGGAATTTGTTGTTTAATATGTGTTAGATATATTAGCAGGTATGTACCTACCTAATTTTCGAGAAAACTGGACTTGAAGTGAAAGAATAGTGCTCTATTTGAGTAAATGTAGATACTTACTATTACTTGTGTATCCATAATTAAATGAAAACTAATCATTGTGACAACATAAAACAAAGACCAATCAGGAAAATATTCTTTAGAAATACAGAAAGTTTCTTATAATAATCTTGTTCACCTTACAACTTGGAGAATTTGTTTCATTTGTAGGACAATAATGCTCGAATTTTGTCTCTGCCCTTTTTATTTATTATCCCGATTTACCTTGTAAGGTAAATCCCGAAATTCCTTGAAATTCAGAAAGAGTTCTTCCTTTGGATTTCTTGACATTGTAATTAATGAATGTTTTTCCGTCAATTTAAATCATCGAATATAAGGGTCACAAGATCCTGCAGCATATTTAATTTTGCTAAAACCAAACACCTAACAACGCCTAATTCGTCTAATTAAATTAGATTAATTCAATAATTAAATTGGACGCTTAACGCAGATCCGGTTTCTGCTGTGCGAGTCACTTAAACTTTGGTCTTTTACAGTTTCACCAGCCAACCATTTCTATCCCCAGACAGAAAAGATGGAGAATATTTCGCTTCTAAATTTCCCCTAAGAATTCTTACTAATTCGAACTGATGTTGATCGGAAAGCATACAAATCTTCTTCCACGAATTTTAAAGATTAGGTAATATGTAGATAGGTTAATTAAAATAAAATATACATGGTGATTCAGAACTCACGACCCACAGGCAAAGGTCTTATGGAAACGACAATGGAGATGCCAAACTTCAGCCGAATACATGGAAAAGTTTTTTCTTTGATAATTAATGATATTTAAAATCGACCAATCCCAGTAATAGTTAAATTTACAGAAAATGATGTAAATGAGCTTTAACAATTTAATAATACATAAATACATAAGTAAAAATAAATTCTCTTCCAGATCTAAATCGAATGATTACCGTTTAAATTGTTCGTGGGTTTGACAGAAAGCTTTTACCTTTGATAGTTTTCAATTCCAGTTAGATTTTAGATGGTTCTTTAATCTTTATTGAACTGTAATTTATCCGATGAAAACGGGTGAAATAAACTATACCGTAAATTCAAATATTCGTTCCTTTTTACGGTTTTAATATATTTCTCTCATCTGCTGGGTTTTACAAATTCTTTGAAAAGCAATGTGAAATCGATTTAATTTTTTTTTGAAATTCGTCATATGGTTTCCTTTCCACTCTTATTTCTTATAAAAATATGCATATCACCTTTGCTTTCTTCTATTATTTCCTCTATTATTTCTCAGAATATTTTTTTGTAATAAATGGGCGAAGTTGATAAATAAAAGGCTCATGTTGAAAATTTTTAAATTTTGCGGTCTGCAGACTGAATGTTAATAATAATTATTGATAATAATTATTCTTAATTAGTTAATTAGTTTTTTTTTTTGGCATTGACACAGTGTTTAGAATTGAAACAAGGGAAAACAATATAATAGTTTTCAGAAAAAACAAAATAATCGAAATGTAAGTTTCTAAAAGTCAAACAGTTGATTTTTTACCCAGTCTGCTCTTTTTCGTAATAATTAGAACTTTTCATCTTTAAAAACAATTAATTGTAGCCGTTAAAAATTAAAAAAAACACAATCAGTGAATCAATCAATGTCGGTTGAAGCTTTATAATAGCAGTTACGTAATATCGTTTTAATTTAATTTGTGCGTCTAGAATCTAATATAATCTAGAATAAGTTTCCGCACTTAAAATGTTCAAAATGCGGTTTGCTTGTTTGGTTAAAAATAACCATAATGGTTATAAATCGCCTGTATAAAGTAATTTCCGGGAAATAAATAGGTAATATCATGCGGATACGAAAGGAAAGTCATGCATCTTTTCTCGAATGTTTTAAGAATTCGTTTCTTAACTACCGAATGAATGCACCCAGTAAGATTTATGGCATAGTGAAATTGTATTTCTTTCAGTTTCTTATCACAACAAAATGTTCTGTATGTTGAACACACATAATTTGTAAAGCGTGGTACTAGTCAAGTTGATATTTTTTATTAGAGCAGTTTTTAATGACAAATATAGTACTCGTATAATTTTAGATTTTTATTAATTGTAGAGGGTGGCCCAAAATTTATGGATTTTTAAGGACCCACTAAGCAAACCTTAACATTGAATCTAACTGTATAGTAATATACAGAGTAATATGCAATGAACTTTCTAAAGCGTACCTACCCTATAAAATACGAAACTATTTGGGATGCAAATTTTAGTTGGGACACCCCGTATATATGTCTATATTATGTTACAATTTTATTATCATTATTCGCAACTGTTACTACTATTACCTATTAATATAATCAATTATTATTATATTTAATTACAAGGTTATATTACTGTTCAGTTATTTATGGACCCTTTATTTATAAATTATGAGGAACATTGTAATCTAAAGACCTCTTGTTTTTTTGTGTTAACCTCGAGGGATTTTTCGCGGCGCTGTGAAAATATCCATTAAAAATTTCCATGAGAGAGGAGCTCCTACCCGAAATGTTTTATTAAATATTAAAATTTTTAATGTAACAAAATGTCGAAAAATAAGTATATTCCTGGAAATTTTCAAACAGTACAAGTTGTAAGAAACATTTCATTCGCTTTCTCTTTTTCTCAACATTACAGAAGTAATTTTATACAATAATTAGTATTTTACAAATACTAAATATTCCGATTTAACCTTGATAATTTATAACTTTTTCCATATTTGATTATAACTTTTTTTTTATTCGATTTTACTCGATTTTTTTATTCGTCCCACACGGATTTAGTTAATCGATTGTTATACTATAATAAGAGCGTTTTTGTTGAGATTGATTGAATTTTATTGAATTGAGATTTATTGATAACCTTGATTGTGCAATTTTTAACGAAAATCATTTCTGATAAATTTTCCTCCAATGTAATTATACTAAATCCAAGCTTAAGTGGAAATTAACATTTGGTTGCCTACACAAATTGGCACTACAAGTCGTTATGACTCATAGCAAAAAGCTTATTTGAACTATGTCTATTTATTTGGTAACACCCCAAAAATACCCAACTTGCCAGTCGAATTTAAGGTAATTAATATACATTTTGTATACACTCGAAGTATTTCTGTTCTACCAATTATCCCGTAATCATCGTATTACTTTACCATCTCTCAAAACTAGCGTAGCAAAACGAGACTAATATCATTGTCCTTAAATTCGGCTCCAAATGCAAAACTTTACTCACTGAGAATTTGATTTAATCCTCTTTCCTCTCGTGACATTTTCCTCTCGAGATCCTCGGTGATCCCCGAAATGCCAGAAAAGAAAACGCTCGTTATGCCGTAGGCTGAACGAAATCGATTCCTGCAAGTGTTCAGGAACCATCTCAGGAAATAATAATACTAGTAGAATCCATGAGTTGGGCCATACAATTAGGAAATACTTAGGAGAAAAATCCCAGAACCCAAATAGGCATCTAGGCTAATTCTACGCCCCTTTTATACTGCAATTATACGTGAATAAACCGGAGAATATCTCAAAAAAATGTTACTTGTGAATATTATCCACTTAGAAAAAATGAACCTAGTAGTGTTACAGCCTAAATGCCGGCCCAGAAAGAGATTGCATTTGCATGTATTGAAGAGACAGTATATTAAAGGATCCATTGATACTTCACTCATGAATACAGAAGCTGATGCTCTAGTAATAGCTTTTCTTTATTCCTTCAGTTTTCAGTTCGAACCTTGGTTGGTACTAAATACAAAAGTATTTTGAATTTGAAGTTTTGAAAGTTTAACGAATTCTACAAGATCCAATACACGTTCCCTTTATTATATTTTCTATTAACACAACTTCTAAATTTAACAAATTTAATTACCATGCTAAACCAAAGTAATCGATAAAATAAACCCCTAATACCGCATCTAATTCCATCTAACGACGCAAATTATTTAGGAATACTAACAAGCAGGAGCACTGAAAAAGAAACAAAAAAAATCTTGAAATTTCAACACCCTGTAGGTAACCAAGCGTTTGCAGACCCACGTTTATATGAACTTTTAGTCATAAAATAAGCCAAGCAATCACCCCATTTCGGATGTACAGGATGTTTAGGAACACCCTGTATATAAAGATAGAACCGAGTTAGGATGCGAGATTTTTAAAACATAAATTAGTTGGGCATACTACGGGGACATTTTTTTTACTATCTAAAATAGTTTTTGTCCGTAAATCGAAATTAAAAAAGTATAATTTTTGACAGATTTCCAAATAAATTATTTGATGAACGTTGCCTGTTCGTTTGGTTTAAACGGAACCAACACCGAAATGAAAGATTTTGGCAATTTCGTCGCTTTTAATGGACGAGAATAAAAGAAATTGCAATAATTCGAAAAAATAAAGGTTCCTTGGTCATTTGTACTTACCAAAAATCGAGAACAAATTTCTAACTGTCAAAGTTGTCATTTCCGTTACTACGGGATACGTTGACATTTAGAGTTGAAATCGGAAAATTGAAATATGGGACAGGGTGACTCGAGCGAGACTTTAGTATTTAACCGTCTTTGCGTAGGAGTCCGTTAGGCCTACAAGCTGCGGGTCTATGCGGCAGAGCCCTCGATTATTCACAGCAATTTAGTCGTGCTCGTGCAGCGAGCGAGACCTTAGTTATTTAATTGACCTTGCATAGGAGGCCGTGAGGCTTCCGGGCTGAAGGCCTATGCGGCAGAACCCATGGTTATTCACAGTGAACAAATCGAGCTCGCGCAGCGACCCAGCCTAGACCTTGATTACATTTAACTGTGTTTGCGTAGAACGTCGCATTACATTATTGCAATTAACAAATAAACTCGAGCTCGCTCAGCGAGCAAGCGAGAATCAGATATGCAACTGTGGGAGATAGTCTTCTATCTCACAAATTAGCATTAATTCGTCCCGATTCAGTTTATTAAGTTTGTAGATACATTAGAAAATCCATTTGAACAGTATCTAACTATACTTTGCGCGTTTGGAAGACGGAGTAATAAACATATTAATCAGCCGAAGTCCACTCGGGGTGTTAACGAGCCGCCGGTATCACTCACTCCCCAAGTATAGTCTACTACTAGTCGATGTTTAAGTTATTCTTTTTGTTGCAGACGAACTGCCATAAATAATATAATAATTCTCTTGGATTTTGAATATTTTAATGGCATCGGAATAAAGTGAAAAATGCAGTGAATCGATATCGGTAAAGAAGATATTATGGAGAAACACGACGCCATTTTATCGCTGGTTTATTTCGGTAAGTTATTAGATACCTACATTTCCCAATTAATAAGACAATTATATGCGACAGTTTTTATTGAAATGTTTAATAATTTCAACATCGCAGTATTGAATCCTGTATTCCAGTTTAATTAACAAGGGTGTACTAACTAATTTGTTAAAAAAATAATTTCAATCACCGTTGAAAAGAAAAAGTTCTCCGGAATAGGAAAAATGCTCCGACCTCGCCGGCCCCTCCATTACTGCCACCAAGAGAACTGAAATAGAATATACCAAGTGTAGCATATTAATGAAAAGGTATTTTTATAAAGAATTCAATCATGTAAATATTTGTTAGACAACTCTTTCTTTTAGCGTCCTCTTGCGCAAACAAAAACTGTTACGACAATTTCCTCTGCAAATGATTTTCCTGAGTAAAATACTAGTTCCACCGCTGCATGGTTGTACACTGTAATTTTATGGCTAATAATAGCATTTAGAATTTAAGACGTGTTGTCTTACTAAAACGTCTTACTATACTTCATCCATCCAACCAATGGAGTAACTAAAACAAGATTAGACGCTGGATCAACGCGTGATCACCAGTGATTGGCCAGCGTAAGGAGACTTTTTTATTTTACCCAATAGAAGCAAATGTGCTTCTAAATGATCACGCGTCTAACTTTGCTTTGGTTACTGCGTTGGCTCGATGGATGAAGTACAGAGACGTGTACTGTTGGTACCTATGACTATATTAATCCCTTATTGATTGCCTTTCGTTGCCTCTCAGGCATTGTAAATATTTGAAATCTCGAATGAATCGCTCATCCAAACGCATTTGTATTAATGAAGGTTTTGCTCGAAAGGAAGACAATTCCCATTCAGGAAACGGGGATTGATCAATGAAAATAAACAATGGTTATAGGTAGGTAATATACACTAAATTCGGTAAATTTGCTAAATTGACTATGTTGTAGTACTCCTAGATAAATGAATTAATTAAAAAAAACGTAACCTTTAAATATCCTTGGTAACGTTATATCCTACCTCCTTACGATAAAAAACCTTCAAGATATTGTATAGAAGAAGTTGCAACTGTGGAAGGGATAAATAAAGTGATTTATCATTAGAGTAAAGAGTAATCATTAACTCTGAAATTCTTCTCTCTTTCTCAAATGGACATCTAGCATTACGCCTAATAAATACAGAGTGTTCAAATAATTGTTAATTTAGCTTCAAAAATGCGTGTGCGTAACATGATGAAAAATTGACTAAGCGCTTTTATACATACCTTTGATAATATCGAGTGAAAATGAATGAATGACCAAAGTAGAAAAAAATCTCACGATCTGGTGACCTGCAATTGACTTTTTTCAAGTCATTATAAACTCCGAAAAGGAAATAAAACGATTGGACGATCATGTCCTTTCGGACACCCTGCTTAATTGAAATTTTCACTGACAATTTTCTTCCGGAAAAAGTAATTAAAATCACCGGGTGAACCTAGCACCCCCACCATCAAAAAAAATAAAAAATCATACATCATAATTTAGTGCTATTTTAATGCTAATTTAGTGCCCACTTCCTAATTTTAGTGCTCGTCTGGTTGAGCAGAAAATTGCGATTGAAAATGGCGGTTTAAATATTTAAACAAAATTAAAAAATAATATATCGGAATTTAGTGCTATTTTAGAGCTTCCGAATGCACTACTCAGAATTTCATTTAAGGTATTAATCTTAAAGATATTTGATAAAAACGTATTGGAGTCAATAGAAAAAGAGATAAACATAGAAAAAATACATTTAAACATAGTAATAGGGAAACGTTTTTGATCTCTATTTTTTCAATGATTTTAGTGCTTTTAATGTAGTTAATGTCAGATTTTAGTACTCAACCTTTAAACCCAAAAAATCACATTTTTACAATTTTGTATAGTCTGACATCCAAGAGTAAAGTATCATTAAAAATATAGATATTAAAATGATTTTTGTTTCATATTCTTTGTTCATTTTAGTGCTTTTATATAAGATAGCTAAAGTCCGGTTTTAGTGCTCAACCCTTGAACCTTTCAAATATCCAATAACTCCAATACCGAAATTCAATTCGTATTTTTTTCCTCATTACAAAACAGTTTTTTACACAAATAAACCTTATACGTAATGAAAGATGTACCTGGAGTTTTTCTGGAAGAAAATCCACTGGTTCCTTTTCTTCCACTTTTTTCGACGTAATTAGACTTTTCCACAGCCCCATTTCGAAATCTATTTAGTGGTACTCAAAAGTGAAAACCTCCTGGACTTTCCCAAGGAGAGTATACTCCAAGAATGAATGCTACTAACATGTTTTTTCAATTTTGTCAAAAGGTTTATTTACTGCTAACCGTTATAAGATAAAGAATTTTCTATTTTGCTTTTAATAATGTACGTTTTCTGAACGCTTTTGTTTAATTTTAATAAACATTTTTCTTCTCGGGTGCTTTCGTGATTGTTTGGAGAAGTATCTTTTAAAAGGCTGCATGAGACGGTTTATGTGAGGTAAATTTCCCTACATGAGATTCAAACATACCCATATAAGATATTAACAAACATTTTATACTTTTAAAGCCTTGCAAATCCGAAGGGAAAACTTCGAGAAAATGAAAACCTTTTTCGTATCCCTCTCTGAGTAATTTAATATACGGCCGACAATAATAATCCCGCATATGATGGAGTTATTTAACAACATGTTTTAACAGCATGTTAAACATTAACAAAAACCATGATGGATTGTGTGAGAACGGACACCTAGAGGAGTAAAAGCTATATTACCGACGAAAATAATTGTTTATGATCTATCGCTTTACAAATTTATTATGTTACATTAAAAGATATAAATTTACGAGTGAAGTAAATTTCTACAAATGATAACAACCTTCTAAATTCATAAAAAAATTTGGTAAGTTCCTAAAAAATCTCAACAAACTCAAAAAAATTGTACCTAATTGTATCCTAAATTTATAAATCGCCCCTTGCAAACGAAGATGTTTAAAAACAAAATGTTTTAAAACAACAGAGCTTATTTGGGCTGACATAAAAAATTATGTTGCCAAAAAAAATTTAAAATTTTAAATGTTGCGATGTTAAAAATATTTTTAGTGAAGCAGTTTTGTTTATTACCTCTGAAAAATGGAACAATAGCGTGGGACATGTAAAAGATAAGGTAGAAATGAAAATGTTAGAATTAGATCGTCTTATGGACGAATTAGTTGACAGAGTCCGTTAATAATTAATCTTAATGATGATTCTTCTAGTACGAGTTTTTCAGATTCTGAGTAACCGGTCTAAAATGACAAAAGCTGCTGATATAAATTGACCCTATTTGTTTTATAGTTCGTTTAATGTTAAATACACTAAATTGTTTTTGTTTTTCTTTATTAGTTAAACTTTAAATAATTTTTACACACCTTGCCGCATAATATTTAAAAAAAAAATTATAAAATTTCTGTCATCCCTTAGTGCGACTCTGTATAATCAGTCTCGTCCGTTAGATTACGTGCACAATGCATGATATTGTTTACGAGCACTCCATTGCTTGGATGAACAGAGTATAGTAAAGACATAGACCTAATAATGACCTATACTTCATCCATCCAACCAACGGGGTAACTAAAACAAGATTAGACGCTGGATCAACGCGTGAGTACCAGTGATTGGCCAGCCTAAGGAGGCTTTTTTATTTTTACCCAATAGATGCAAACGTGCTAAATAATCACGCGTCTAACCTTGTTTTGGTTACTCCGTTGGCTCAATGGATGAAGTATAGTAATGATTTAGTAACATTATAGTAAAGATATAGTTAAGGTCTAATAATGATATTGTCAATGGCAGCAATGACCTAAGAAAGCCTAGTAAAGACCTAGTAAAGACCTAATAAAAACCTACTACATCTTAGCAATGATAAATATATCATTAGAAATAGGCATGTATAGGCATAAGTAGACATACAGAACCAAGGTAAACGATAAATATTATTTTTTATTTCAGCAAGTTGCACTTCAGCTTTTCGTTTGACAAGCATGTCAGCTCCAAAGGTAGCCGATTTGCGAGACATAATGGAGCTTGATTGCCACTTTGACATGGGCCAGGAGGAATTATACGCCGTGAAATGGTACAAGGACGATCAGGAATTCTTCAGGTAACTGTATGATGAAATTTAAGGGTAGAATAGGGTGGAGTAAGGTTCGTTTAGTACTTATACATATGAAATAAGAAAGAATAAGAAAGTATACGAAACTGAAATAAATATCAAGAAAAATAGCAACAAGAAATTACCGAAATTATTATAATCAGTATACTAAAATTAAAAAAAAAATTATGTATTTTTTTTTAATGATCGATGCAGGTACATGCCCAGAGGGCAGCAGGAAACGCGGCTCTTTCCGGTGCCCGGAGTCAAGCTGGACACGCGTAGCGTAGATTGCAACAAGAACCGATGTAAGATCGGCCTAACAGATTTGAAGAAAATGCACAGTGGCGGCGCGTACAGGTGTGAAATTTCAAGCGAAGCACCCGCATTTAGATTGGCTTCGGAAACTCATAATGTTACCGTAGCCGGTAAGTAACGCTTTAATGTTTTAACCTATAAATATAGAATAAATTCGTGGCGGGATTAGAAAAGTACCCGAGAATAACTAAAAGATTGCATCAAGTGTTACTTACGCTACTACTTGCATTAATTTATTAACATAACGTTAAATGTTATAGAGTAACGTTAATTTTAAAAGAGTCAATGAGAGTATTTACTTCTAACCAAAACACCCTATAAAAAATTAACGTTCATGTAATAAACGTAATTTGGTGTGGTAAAAGTAAACATTTATTATTAATGGGGAAGTGTTGGGTTAATTTCTTTCGAATTTGCCAAACGAACTTCGAATTTCACTTATTTTAATTAGTTAGTTATTTGGGGGATACACTTTAAATATTAAATACTGTTTTCCCGAGGGATCTTCCAATTTCAGTCAAGATCACTTTCTGTAGTAATTTAATAATTTAACAATTTCATTTAAAATATGAGTTTTCTGGAATTGCTTACACATAAACCCGATCCGATAATATTTAGATGGTAAATACTTAACTTAGAAAATTAATTAAATTCACTTTCTCACCAAAAGTGCAGTGAGAGCGCTTCCTCCATTTATTATATAGTATATTCGCATGTTTATTAAACTTAATAATTTTAGTATTCTGCGGCTCCATTTAATAAACTAATCAAGCCAACATCACCTATAAGTAAATATAATAATAAATTTGGTATTATAAATCGCTTAAGTTATCACTGCAATTTAAGTAAATTTGGTGGATGCATACAGATTTCACCAGAACCTTATTAAATTTGGTTGAAACGCTTAAGCTTCCTTAGAAATTTTATATAAACCTGGTAAATGTCCTTAAGCTAAAGTTCAATAGCTTTGCATTTTACCGAAAAATTCATTATCGAACCAACACCTTCGGAATAAAACTGTTGCCGAAAAAAAACGCCGAATTCTCACATGACGATAATCTATTTCCTAACAGCGAAGTTAGAGCCGTAAGAAGTCTTCGGGAGTCTGTTGCAGTTCAACGATTCACTGGGAAGCTTTAAATTTCCGACCAAGATGGGATCGCTCTGTAAACCTCCAATTAAACTATAAGTTTATGTAGAAGGCTAATTTAAAATTCATTTAATATTTAATATTCATAAAATTTAATATTCATAGTGAATAAAAATCATAATAAAACACCGAGCTTCTATACTGTAATTCCAAAATAGTAGGTACTAAATTCTCCGAAATGATTGTGAAGTTTTTGCGATAATGGGTCTCCCGCAGTTGGCGTACGGAAAATATCATAAGCTACAAGGTTGTTCAAATGCTTAAATATCTAGAATCAAAACCTGACAACAACGTTTTCGTTTTGAAGCGATATTTTCGAGAATTTAGTGCTTACTATTTTGGAATTAGAGTATAGTAGGTACAAGTAACTACTAGGGATGTTTCACTGCGAAATGGACAGAAATCACGCAGAAATGCATACTTCAAGTTATGTATAAAAATTGGCGCCGGTCCTGGAACTCATCCACCAAATCACAAAGATGCTTGAGCGAATCCATCAATTTTATCAATAAAAATCCAGCAAGAGCTTGTGAGTGTGAACATGTAAGTATATTAATGTTCAGGCTAGATGAGATGGAATAAATAAATAGGATTTTATGTAGATACCTCTGTATGGATGATATTTACTTTTGATCTTCGGTGGATCAATCGATTTAAAAAAACGTGTATTTCAAAACGTTATGGGAAAATTTTAAATTTTTTTTAAATTCTGCAGAATGTCTACAAATAGATTAGAATATATGTTAGAAGGAATCTATAGATTGAATTAGTGGAAAATTTCAATCGAGTTTGGTTCTGAGCGGACCTCTTTTGCATAGTTTATTGAGCATATAAATACTTTGCCAATGAATAGTTCCATTGCCATCTGTGGAAACAGAATCCCATTCGAAATAGAACTAATTTAAATACGTGAGCTCTCTTTTTGATACCTAATTCTTTGGAACAGGACAACGTACGACGACGGGAGCAAATGAAAGGAAATTACTTTAACCGATGCAGGAAATGAAAATGACAATTATCTACAGACTATTGTATCAAAGGAAATCGATAGTGTATGTTCATAAAATTTACGTCTACATTTTTATTTAAATTTGTAGAAAAAGAAAATAAAAAAGCCGAAGATTCCTACGAAAAATAAACGTCGATCGTTTCCTCAACCAATACAATTTTATTACATTTTCCTGCTTACATGCATATACATACCATAACATTTTATAGTATTCTCGTTTCTCAGTATACCCATAGCACGCTAAACGAAATAAGTCTCATCTCAATTTACTATCTTACAAATGCGTTCAAGTATGCAGTAATATTGAAATTTTGAGAAAATCAATAATTTCCCTAACACATTTGTTCATTCAGCTGCGAATTTTATCTACACGGTGTTCTAATAGTGCTGTAAAGCTCATTTACTTAGTTATTATAATAGATACGAAAAAATGGTAAATAGGAAAAATGTCAAGCACCTTTAGTCGCATAATTTAAAATTATTTCGAAATATACAGGGTGGCCCATAAATCAAAGCATTACAAAACAAACCTTTTTAAAACGCAATAATAATTATTTCATATTCGATTTCAGCTCGTTTTTACGAGTTTTTCAATATAAGATATATGACTATACTGAGTATTTAAACAGTTATGACCATTTTTATGTTCAAATCGTCATGACTTCAAGGCCCTGTATATCAGAATCTGTGTTAGATAATGTGAATATTTCTGTGTTAGCACTTTTTAAAAATGGTCTATTTTTACAAAAATTAGTTACATTTCGACAAAATTACAATTTATATACAGGATGAGTCAAAACGCAAACTTAATATTCTCTAATAATAATTTAAGGTCTCACTTAAATTTTAAAGATACCAAATTTCCCCTACTTTTCTCTTTCTCCCATTTGTTTCGTCTACCAGCTAACTTTCCCATTAAAATATACAAAAGAATTCATCATTATTTATTTCACTACTTTACTACAACTTTTTGATACATATTATTATCATCACATTTATATAAATAAATATTTTCTAGACTGTTTTGGAGTACTCTAATCGTTGTGATGTGAGCTAAGAGTGGTACCTACTAGGTACTCTAAATTTTACTTTTTACTTTCATATCACTTGTAAATATAATCAAGAATGAATACAATCACATATCAATATAGAAGAACAGTGGATTTTTTTTTTCATATTTATGGTGTGTAAAGAATACCGGGTCGTTTCGGGAGAAAAGGCCTGGCAAATAAATTTACAAGAAAAATCTACCATTTGATCCTAAAATTTAGAAGGCAAGTCGGGATAAAACCATTGAAACAGAATAGACTCTTCTTTATTATAAGATATTTCCAATTTTCTTATTATTTCACTACTTTAAAATAAAGGAATGCTTGATGAAAATGAATGCTTCAATGTAAAACCAGACTTCGAATTAATTTCTAGTATAAATTTATTTTTAACTTGTGTATAAAATAATCTTCTGTTTTTCTGCTCAATTAAACGCAATTTTAAAAATAACATGTGTAAGATCGAGATTAAAATAATTCTTTACGACATTATCGTTCGTATTATTTATATTAGCAACAAAAACTTTATGCTCTCTTTACGATATGGAGTTCTTCTCGTTAAATTTACAACAATAGCTAGGTGATACCTCCATTCTAAAATCGACTTCCTTTCTATAGGTACATACATACGTAAATCAATTTTTTCAGAGATTATTTTAAAAACTTTCAATGGCATAAATTCAATCATGTTTCATCTCAGGACAGTCATGTGTCCGGTATAAATTCCCGTCGCGGCGTACTTTGCGACACTACCGGTGTCCCACAGGTGGCATATATTATGTGTGTAAATTTATAATAATAATTAGTTGTACTTCCAAGGCCGTTTCAGCGCCGCAGTATAAACAGAGATCCCATATCGTTGGTGTATAATTTCTGAAAGGTATCATAGTAATGTGATCCCGCGAGGCTGCAAGAAGTTTGCCTTTGGAGGGTGTAAAAGCGCAGAAGGCGGGCGAGGAGCGCCCACTTGAATTCTTGCCTCTAATATCTGATAACTTTCCACTGTTTGCTTGGATTACTTTACTTGCTCGTTGGAGTATGAGATATACATAGATTAATCGCCTTATCCTGCTATTGTAAGGTAAAAAACAACGGAAACAGCTTTAACGGTTTAAATTAAATTATTGTAAGTTTTTACCAGAATTTGAGATTGATTGTTCAAATGTAGGTCAATAGTAAAATTATTGCAAACGGTTCGTTGGAAAAATGATTGCTAATATTTATTCTACTAAAACTTAAAACTCCTAAAAGCATTGTGAAGCTCATTGGTAAATATAAATTGTGCATTTCTCCACTAAATCCTTTACTCATCCACATATACTCAGAAACTGTTGCTGATTCCTTTTGTCAAATATTGTGCACAGCATTGCACGTTTTTTTAAACGGCATTCCAGGTAATAATCCAAAATATTAGTTTACAAAATGGTTTCAGTATTGATGGTAAACAGACCATTAAATGGAATATATTATACCCGTATATTTTCGGCCAAAAATACATATTACCAGTACAATAATTTATTTGTGAGTCATATCGAGAAACGAAGCTCATTTTATATTTACATTGTTGCAGCTATACCAAGAGGACTCCCTAAAATCGACGGACTTGCAAAAACTTATGTGGAAGGAGACACTTTCAATGCAAAATGCACCTCCGATTACGCAGATCCCGAACCCGTATTAACGTGGAAAATTAATGGTTTAGATGTAACTATTCATACATTTATAAATTTTTACGGAAGGAGTCAATAGTCCAAGGAGAAAAAAGAATGATTTCTTAAGGATTATGAATTATTTAAATTAATAATAAAAAGTTTTACAAGTTTTATTAAGAAAGTTTACACTACCTTCCTTCTATACATATCGTTTGCTCCATTTCCGATTGCAACATGGTCATTTCTATGAGTGGAACA